TGAATTGAAATAAGTTGGTGTGTGGGTGAACTAACCCAACACGAAAAGATCTCACATACCTTAATAGGGATCACCCCCGACGAATTTCACTTGCAAGCTTGGATGATCTTGACGAATTCTTTCCTTTTTCTCCTTTTCTTTCTTTTTTTCTCTCTTCTCCAAGCCCTAAGCGTTCTTTAATTTTCCAAACTGATTTAGGTTCTGTTTTTACTGCAATAAACCCCTAAAATCAAATTAGGAAATTAATTAGAGAAAAGACTACTTTGCCCTTCCCTAAATCCGGATTGAGACTTTCCTCAATCCAACAACCCAACTTCCGAAAGTCATATATCACTCATACGATGTTTAAATCGTGCAATATCAGTGGTGTTGGAAAGATCTCTCCAAGGAATTTCCAACCATATCAAGATCTGCTCATAACTCCTCATGAGCTAGGAGTTATGGCCGTTTGAAAATGGCCAAAACTCACTTTCTTAACTTAGACAAAATTTCCAGATTTCCTTATTCTTTCCAAAAATCAATATTTTCATATTTTAAACTCTTTATAGTCATTTCTAGGTGCGAGATGTTACAAGACAATAATGTAACTTACAAATGATCATAAAATAGAAACAATAATAGCAAACATAAAAAGAACTATACATCTGTAACACAAAGAGAAATTAAGAGGAATAGGGCTCTTACTTTAGGTTTTGAGTTTTGAGGGTTTGTATAACGTGGAGTTGTGAACTCAAAGTCACAGTGAAGTATGAATTGAAGGCTAAATGACAAAGACATAACTAGTAAGATATTGAGATTAATATCTAATATTTATGTATACGTAAAAGTAGTAAATTACTATAGTCTTAATGAGTTATCAGTTTACCCGATAACCCAATATAAAACATCAATACCGAACCGATACCCGATAATTTTTTTTACAAAACCATTAAAAATCCGTTAACCCAATAACCCTATAGCAATAAACCAATAACACTTTTTTCGATTCGATTTATCATCGGTAATGTTCTAAATGAAT